GAGAGAGAGAGAGAGAGAGAGAGAGAGAGAGAGAGAGAGAGAGAGAGAGGAATGGTGAAGAGGAAGAAGATTTAGAATAATAGAGAATAGAATAAAGAGGAAGTTAGAGTGAGAAGGTTTTCAGTGCGTGTAGTTGGTGAGTGAGACAAAGAGAGAGAGGGGGCGTTGTGAGGGAGTTGACTTGTGCAGTGTGATGCTTAAATGTCACCGAAGTGCTTAATTGCATATCACAATCACTCTGTATGGACCATAAATATCAAGGAGAATTTCATATATCCGTGCTTCACCTTTACTTACTGTAAAGTACCCGACCTTAATATGAAAGAAATAATCAAGTGAATGAGAGAGCGATTTCAGATACAGATATTGCATATATTACCTCCTGAATCTGTAGTTTCCCATCAGCAGTGACATCATAGGCGGACATAAACCTTTGCTTCAGCCTCTGGACTCTCTCTGCTGTCACTTTCTCCTGAAGAGACACAACAGGTTGAAATGCAATTGATTTTCTTGCCCCAGAACCATTATTGAACTGAACACACACATGATGATGATACAGTATATGAAGGGTAAAATAAGAGCGGTATCTACAGTAGTAAAGAAAACATGACAGTTTGCATTGATTACTGAAAAGAATGACATTGAAGGACTGGCTGAGTCACAGTTATTTTAAGCAATGTCACCATGGATACCTCTTTGATCTCCCATTTTATTCTCTCAATGTTCATTTTCTCAACCCTGGGCTAATAGTTTGTAAAGTGTTTCTGTTGCTCACTCTACATGACATTGATCCACCCACTCCTTCTGCTACACAGAACAAAGTGTGTGCTGCTTTATACCACAAAGCTTTGCCCCGTGACTTGCCATCCAAGATGAGATGGGGTATCTCATCATGAGATGGGGTATTTCTTATACACAGTGTCATGATTTTCTCTTCTTTTCTATGCATTTACAGTGTGTTCGTCAATGACCTGACTGCTTTTGGCTGCAACAAGCAGTTTCCTGTGAAATATATGAAAGCTATCTAAGCTTTCTCATCAGTCGACTACACGGTGCTATAGACAACGAACAGTCAAGTAGTGCATGAAACTTGATGCACTTCAGGATGTGGAGGATGAACATATTTTAGCAGCTTAGAACTAAAGATAATTTGAGATAAGTTTGTTGTATGCTTATATGAGTTAAGAATCACATTTCCTTTTCCTGTGCAAACCAGTTTCTTTCTTAATCAGAGCTGAAGGCAAAAATATTTTTGGCCGTTGAATTTTCAAAAAACACATTTAGCTAATCATCCCGTCTTTCTTTGCAAACACCAGCATTACTGTACTGTAACTATAGAAACCTGTTGATTATGAAGTCTGACTCATCGTTTCATGCAGTGCAGAGCTCACTGACTGCAGATCAGCAGGTGCCGGATCCTTGCTCATTACAGAAAGATCCTCAGCATCAGCTTTCATGTTCGGCAACAGTAATCTCTTGTTGGTTGCTAAGCAGAAGTTTTTAAAGCACAAATTAATATTTGACTTGATGTACACCTTTGACAATATGTACACTGCATAACAAACTCATGTATTCAGGCTTTTACTGATACTGATATTACATTTACACTGCATCACACACAATTTCATAATTACTGGATATGTTGCCCTAGAGGAAATAAAGACACAAAGATAGATAGAAAGCCTCCATGTGGTTATTGTCACCAGTGGCTGAATATAGTATAATAGAATCACTGTGCCATGAGAAATGGACAGCAGCCAGAACTTATCCTGGGGGCATTTATGCTGGAAAGCAAACATCGGAGAGAGACAAAGTGGCGTGTGGTCGGTGGTCTGTTTGTTTTAGTGCAACCACATTAGTATCCGAGGGAGTCCAATCACACAAGCAAACACACACTGCAACATGTAATAGTTGTACGTCCATTTGGTTTTCCATTATAACTGGAGAGGAACTTTTCCTCTGACAGGGACCAGATCTCTTTAATTGTGCTCTGTTTTACATCGTTACAGTCACCCCACCCATCCAGACAACTGCATCGAGGTTCAGCTGCCCACACAGCAGAGATCAATGTGTCCAAAACCAAATGCATTTTCTAGAAGCTGATTCAAGATTCAATGTCAACGAATGGTGTCTAACATTGAATAATTAATCTAAATATGCGAACATTAGTTACATTTGAATGAATTACTATTGTATGCAGAACATTGAATTTAATGGCAAATTTCAATTTTATCTTGAAAACAGGAATGCACATTATTTACACTAATATTATTAGTATTGGCTAATACTGTGTGTGTGTGTGTGTGTGTGTGTGTGTGTGTGTGTGTGTGTGTGT